TTTTTTAAGATATAAGCTCATCCCGATGTTACACTCATCAAGTGCTTTCATTTGAGTACCTATATCAATTTTTCATATATTTTATATATATATGATATTTGTGAAATATATCAATATATAAAATATATGAAAAATTGATGTGGGTACTCAAATGAAAGGTCTCAATGAGTGTAATGTCGGGGTGAGCTTATATCTTTATAAATGTCAATATTTCACAAGATACACGGTCATTTCCTAATTATGTATCTAGAGATAGAGCATTTTTTAATGTAGCCTAAATGCTTATCATAATAAACTGACTATTGGTGAGAATGATATGAAATCTTGAAAAAGCACAAATTCAAATCAGCATTTTTGCAATGACATTAAATTTCACTAAAAAAACCGATTTTATCATATGACTATTGTGGAGTCAAAATTTTTCTTATTCTTTTAACAATATAGATAATATATTTAAATGACAAATTATACAACTATACTTTTATTTGTATGTAATATTAGCGCAATTAATTTTATCTCAGTAATTTTTACTAATAAAAATTTAGCACGGGTTTATGTCATTGGGGTTATCTGTTATGTAGTTTGTTTATCAGCCGTATATTCATTTATCACTGCGAAATTATTTTAACGACAAAAAAAATGATAATTATATTTAAGTCCTTGACTTTAAGTATTTCTTCTCAGAAGTTTGATAAAATAGTCAGAGATTGTTGAGAAATCTTCAGTATTCATTGTATTAATTTCAATGACGGATCTAGACGCGCTTACACAAGCAGACGCATAAATGAAAATATAATTTATTTGGTTTAATCTAGTAATTTAATTAAGAGAGATTAGAAAGAGGGTCAATGACTAGTAATTTTATCAGAAACTTAATTTGTTAGTTATGCAGACAAATTAACCTTAAGTTTTATGATTATCATAAAGTAGTATTTAAAAATTTATTTATTTATTACTTATGATGTAATTATATTTATAAGATTGTTTTTAAGAATTTAATATAGAAATTTTTATAAAAATATTTTTATCTCACGGAAGAAATTGGAGAATTATTATATTAATTTCGTCAGTTATATTATCTAAAAATTATTAACCTTTTGTGTCGCAAAAAATCCAGAGGGCGTTAGAAGCTTCAAGGGGAATCCCCGGAATATTTCTTAGCTTCATTGTTGCCAAATCCATTTTAAGTCTTTTTAAATTAAAATCATAAAAGATATTATTTCTTCGAGTTTAATTTAATGTTGGAAAAATTTGTTCAGTTCCATCGAAATTTTAATTATTAAACAACAAAAATACTAAAATATTTTCTATAAATTTTAAAACGTTGCAAGTTTAATTAATATATTATCAAGAATAGACTTGCTGGCGGGAAAAAGCTGTAATTTCTTGTAACTAATTCACTTAAAATCAATTTTTAAAAACATAACGCTAAATAAATAAAAATTACAGGTCTGAAAACAATTTTAGATTAATAATAAATTAATTAGAAAATAATTAGCAACAATAATTCTTATAGTTTTTTTAATATTTCAAATAAAAGTCCCGGGATTCCCTGAATAGCAGAAGTAACGGAAGGTTAAAAGGTATACGCACTTGAAATTTTTTAAATTTAATTTTTGTAATGTACATATATTCACGTGTATACACAAAAAATTAAATGTCAATCGGACAAGTATTTCCAAAGTTATACAGATATTTGTAAAGCCGAATCGGAGCTTGCTGCACTTCAATGCTGCTGAGGCCGAAAAACTTTAAACGCCTTTTTCTCAAAATTATATTTTCAAAATCGGTGAGCAATATTTATCAAAAGTGATAAGATCAGCCTCTAATTTTTACACAATTTTTTTAATTATATTTTTCAGTAATTGATTCAAGGATTGATAATTCTAATAAATAATTTATATTTTTATAAACAACTTGAGGCTAAAATTTTTATCAAAAATTGATTATTTTTTTATGAAACCGTCATTTTGTTAAAAATATATATTTTTATAATTCTGGAGATTAATTTCTAGGTAATATCTTATATTAGCAAAACTTTTTATTAAAAAAAAAAAAAAATAACTTATTATTAAAGTCCAAAGTCGCTAGTAATTGTATATTAATTTTCATATCAATCAATTAAAAAGTTTCTTCAGAAAAAATTATTTGAAAATAGCTCTCCAAGTGCGTATAACTCCTTAATTTTGTTTAGGGCCAATTGCTAATGTTAATTAGCAATAGGAAGGTTAAAATATTATTTTATCAAAATATACTAAAATTCAATTATCTTCAATTGAATCTAAAATATTAAATTACTTAAAATTTTTCAGTACTTTTTACCTCAGTACTCTGTACTACATTTAGGATTATTTTAGTATCAGTTATATTTAGGTTATATTTGTTCCGGTTATTATGCCTGAAGTTATTTTAGCCCGCGTAACAGATCCAAATTTTTTGCTCTTATTAGCACTAAGTATATTTATCATACTTAATTTTTCACTTAAGTACAATAGTTCAACCTAAAATATCATTATTCATTATATTATCACTACTAAAAAGAAAAAAAAATTACTTTTAGTTGAGGTTTAACGTCACGTGGACTTGGCGGTGGGGGTGCTCGTCTTTTCTTTCTCCCAGAAGCGTAAACACTTGTCATAGACACGCAGCTGTTAATTGATAAATTAGACTTTCGTACACCAGCCATAGAGTCATGATTAACCCTTTTGAACACGTAATCCTCCGGCATGTTTTCGTTCTCATCTGCTACTGTTGACTTTATGCTATTATTACTGCTGTTAATGTGATGGTCATTTGGTACATTTAATCTCTGGGATGATCTTACTCCACCTCGCCTTTAAAAAAAAAAAAAAAAAAAAATAATTTTATCAATTATTTTAATAAAATTTAATACCAAAAAATTTTTTAAATTAATAATTAATTATTAATAAATTTATAAACAAATAAATTTATAAACTACCTTGGAGGTATAGGCGTTTTATTTTCCTGACTGTATTGCAGCGGAGGAATATCACGTTTAGCGGTAACTTGACCAAATCTGAAATTCACAAAATTATTAATTAATTTAAAATCTATTTAAAAAATAATTGCATTATTATTTTCAATAATTTTTTTTTTCTAATTCAAAAAAATTGAATAAGAAATAATTTTAAAAATTCTTATTTGAGAGAAGAATCAAAAAATTTGACTCATTAATAATTATTTAGCTTAAAAATTTGTTGTTAGACTTTTTAATAAATTTTTGAAAATTTATTTTCTTAATTCAAAAAATTATTTTAAAATTAATAATATGAAAAAACTTGAATTAAGACAAACAACTTATAAGATATATAAGATATTCTGTAAGCTCAACAAGTAAATACTTGACTCAAAAAAATAAATGTTCGAGGCTTGAGAATATTTTTTTTTTGAAAAACTAAAAATAATATAAAATACACCCAAGACCGGACGTGAACCCTGATCAAACTGTGTCATTTTTAAGGCATCTTAAAGTGGTACTGCTGTCGAATCGTCTAAAGCCAAGAACATCATCTTGAGTTGAATTATTTAGTTTTGGAGTTAGTTAAATACACACGGAAAAAAAAAACTCGAAAAATTACAGTATATAATGTAACGTGGCGCTTCGTGATGAAAACTGGAAAAATTACAGTTTCAGATTGTAATTATTACAGATTTTATGAAAATTAAATTGTAGAATGTAATATTTACATTGAAAGCTCTGAAAATTACACGGAAAAAAGTAAACTGTAATGAATAACAGTCGATTTATGATAAGTAATGATCAACTGCTAAAAATTACCATTTCAAACAGTAAAATCGTGATTTTACTATTCATTTTATAATATTTACCATTTAAACGTTACAATTTAATCTTGACATGGAAGAAGATACTATTTCAAACAGTAATATTCGCTATGTAAATGTCTAAAATGTTAAAGTATAATAATTAAGAATTCAGACTTTGATATTTATCATTTCATACCTAAAAAATGATGCTATGATATGTAAAAAGTATAAAATAAAGTTAGTAAATTTCTAATACAAGCAACGTCAATATTTACAAAGTAAAATGGTAAATTTTAAACGCAACGCTAAAAATCAAACTGTAGTTATTGACTTGCTTGGACTGGTAAAATGTATATTTTAAAAGTATAATTTTTACTGTTTCAAATGTTAAATTCTCCCAGAGTGAGACCCCCTTCTCTTTCATCTGAGTTCCCCTTTTCCTCATAATATGGACTATATATTGAAATGGCAATTTTTACTGTTTGAAACTGTAATTTTTTAAGATGAAAGAGTCGTTATTTACTATAGTGACAGCTACTAATCACTTATTTTGGATATTAAATTATAAATTGTGGCTTTTATACTTTCTGCATTAAGTTCTGTAAAATTTATATTTTTGCCACCCCGATGTCCGCTTTACTGTTTGAAACAATAAAAATTAACCGGAATCCGAGTGAATATTACAGTTTACTTTTTTCCGTTAGAATTTTCGGAAAGTATGCCTTAACTACGACAACTACCTTAAATGGAAAAATAAAAATATTTATTGAAAAAAAATAACTCAATTATTTGGAACTTTTGAATCAAAATCTTCAATATAAAAAAATTTTTTCTTGAATCAAAATATTCTTTCTGAAAATGTTCCTTAGGCAATAACATTGTTCTTGAGCCAATATATCTATTTTCTTTGTAAAAAAAATAAATTACATTGCTATGAATTATTACTGACCTTCTAGCTGGAGGTTTGGGCGTAAGTTCTCCCATAATGGAGGTCGTGGTCTCCTGAGGCGGACATCCGTCGTAAATTCTTCCAGGATCCCCATTAACTGTCAAACTAGACCCGTATCGGGAAGAAGTCGTCGACGGGTAGTCCAAAGTGTTTTTACGTCGTCTCGTTAGTGTGCCAAGTGCTTCATCGAATTCCTGCTGGTCTTTGGACAATCGTGTCGCCGGTGTTTCTGTCGGATAATTGTTGTACGTTGTTCTTTTGTATGTTGAAGAAACTGAAAAAGATGAAAAGAATATTAATACTAATTACTAATTACTAATTACTAATTACTCACTACATAGAACTAAAAATAGCTGACATAAATACTAAATTTATGTATTGAGTTTTTGAAATGCTGTATAGTAAAATTACTTAGCGCGAGGCACTGCCGAGTTTCCAGATTTTTTGACACTTTATTTAATAGTAAATTTTTAGCTAATCTAATTGTTAATATTTAATTTTTTTTAATTCAATATTTTATTAAAATATTTTTTTTCTTTTTTCTTCTCTAAAATTAAGAAAGAAGAAATTTCTTTGGAGGTTATTATGCGGCATTGTTATTTAATATCAAGCAACTAGCAGGCTAGAGAACTAAACCGCAGTATTGATATTTTTTACTTGTTCTTTTTGTAATTATGCAGTTCTTAGAATTTATTTTTATTATTATTATCATGCAGTTAGAATATAAACTCGGCGTGCAAATAAATTAACTGATTTCCATAACCTAAAAAATTAAACGGAAGTTATCAATTTCTGTTAACTCATTGATTTTTTTTTTTTATTTATATAAGATAATTGTTTAATTTCACGGTCACTTTGTTTTTTAGAATAATAATTTTTAAAAATTTTAAAATGCCAATTTCATAATTTTTTATCACAAGCTGACATTTGAAATTTATTTTTTATTATAATTTTGATTCTTTAAAAAAAAATGAAATTGTTTCAAAAAATTTTGAATCATTTTTAAGAAACCAAACAATTGCCGTCTTTTTTTTTTTAACAATTATAAAAAATTTCTCCCGTATTTCTTCATTTTCTTTCACTATACATTTTCCATTTCACTCACTAAAATCAGCTGACACCTGACTAATTTTTTTTTAAGTCTCGAACACACAATTTAGAGTTAAATAAAATATCAATAATCATCTGACAGTTTTTAAATTTTTTTTTACACGAAAATATTTTTTAAAAAATATCAAAAACTATGAACGCAATTTTTTACAATTTTGCTAAAAAAAATTCTAAAAATTGTCAACTGTCAGCTGATTTTAATTAAAAACAATTTGTAATGAAAATTAATTTAGCAGATATTTAATAATTTTAAGAGTTTTTTAACAAGTAAATTACGGCAAAAAAAAGTTAGAAAAAAAAATTAACATGTAGAAATTTTAATAAATTAAAAATGCAATTTTTTTAAAAGTAATTTTTCAAAACAAATTTTTTTTTGTTAAAAAAAAATGAAAAACTGACCAAGACTGCTAACTTAAATGTCATCAATTTGCATTCATACTTTTTAACAATATCTTTCTAAAAAAATTTTTTTTTCACTCACTTGCCAAAAAAAAATGTCAGATATTTACAAATTTATCACAAAAAATTCTAAACTTAACCTCAAAATAAAAAATTATTCACCGGTAGAAATAGTCGGTTTTTTTTCTTCTTCTTTTCGTTTTCCAAAAATTCCATTCCTGCAAAAACGATAAATTAATCACTCGACTTCTAATCAGTAATCATTATTATCACAATTAAAATCATTAAAAACTCACCAAGTAGATTTAATAGAAAAACTGTTAGATCTTTTTTTTCTGCTCCTGCCAAACGTCCAAAATTTGTTCTTGGTATCTTTATCTTTATCTTTCGATTGACTATTATTATTAGTATTAGTATTATTATTATGATTATGACTATTACCATTACTATTATTACTATTAATATTATTATTATTATTATTATTATTAATTTTAGATACACGTGGAAGCGGACGTCTCAAAATAACTTGATCCTCGGAGTCTTCGGTCTCATCTTTAAATGGGTTTAAATCTTCTGGGTATTCATGAGTGGAAATACTTGGCCGTCTCGACGTATCCATCATTATTGTCACTTACTATTATTATTATTATTATTAATAATATTAATATTATAAATATTATTGATCAATCACTCAATCTTAACTCCAACTTATAAAAAGTATTAACACAATTCCGTTGGCCTTAGATCCGTGTCATCAGCTGTCACCATCGCAACTACCAGCACACTGCCACTGGGATCTCATTCTCTTCTACTCTCAGTACCAGTATTTCATTTTTTTTATTCACTAACACTGTAACAAAATTTTTTTTATTTTATCAACAAAAAATAAAAATTAAAAGGTAAGTTTTATTAAATTTTTTTTTTTTTTTAATTATTGTTGGTAATAATTGATGATTTTATTTTAGGAAAAATTTTGAGCACATAACTGTATATATTTAGACTGTCCCAGTCATAAACGTACCGCAATATATGCCACTAGAATAAAGTCCATTTGAATTACAAATGTACATACAATGTACTCGTACTTTTACATTAGTGTGCATATGTATGTGTTTATATATCGATAGTCACATGTGGATTATTATTGTTATTAATTGGTGGTGTGTGTGAGTAAAATTGACGATTCATTTGTTACACCAGCACGTTTTATTACTTTGCCTACGTACTTGTTTATAAATTATTTATTTTTAATTCTTCTATATGGGTTTATGAGATTTTTTTTATTATTTATTATTAATTTGCTAATTTTGTTTATTAATTGTTAAATTTTTTTTTAAATTTGGGTGTGAGTATATTTTTAATTAGGAATTTTCTTATTTTTTTGGACAATTTTTGAAGAAGAAATGATTTTTTTTATTGGAAAGAGGTACTAGTTATTATTAATTGGTAAAGAAGAAATAATAAATGTCTTTAATTGAAGATGAAATAGGATTTTGGTTGGAAGAATTAATTATGAATGATGAGAAAGAAGAAATAATTTTTAGAAATAATGGGAAGATATTATTTAATCTGAGAAGAAATGAGGAATATTTTTAATGTAAGAAGAAATAGAAAATTTAAATTAAAAGCGAAAGAAGCGATGAATTTGACTAAAGAAGAAATATAAATTATTTATAAGAAGAAGAAATAAATTACTTTTACAAAAAAAATTGTATATTCATTTTTTGAAAAAGAAGAAATAATTGATGTTTTATTTTTAAAAAAAGTGATGTTAATTATCTTCATTTAAAGAAGAAATACAAAATTTTTTAATTTATAATATTTTGTAGAAAGAAGATATGAAATTTAAATTAATCATTGAGAAGAAATAGTGGTTTATAAAAAAAAAATGGTATGTATCGTTTTTTAAAGAAGAAATATAATTTATTTTTAAGAAGAAACAATAAATTACTTTTACATAAAAAATTATAAATTTTAAGTGAATATTATGAAGATATAATGAAAGTAATGTAAAAATGAGTAATAATATTTCGATTGTAGGAAGAAATACAATTTGAATTGAAAAAACTACAAACTTTGTGTAAAAAAGAAGAAATAATTAATAATTATGAAAATCACGGGAAGAAATGATTGGTATAATGAGAAGAAATAAAATTATAATATTTATTGTTCAACAAAAAAGAAGATGAAGTTTACTATAAGAAGAAATATGAAATTAGCAGACGATATTTATCGACAAAGAGGAAATAACAGTTTAATTATGAGAAAAAAAAAATAAAATTATTAAATAAAAAAGGAATTTTTTAAAGAAATTTATATTTAATTTTTTAATAAAAAATTTGAAATAAACGAAAGAAAAATCATGAAAATTATAAAATTTATTTTGAAAATTCAGAACAGAAACACTCAAAATAAATGTACATAAATATATCTTCTCTAAAAATAATCCGAAAGTTTTTTTTATAACAACACTAAGAGCAAAATAAATAATTATTTAAATAAAAATATGTCACGCAAACTATAAATTTAGACAATTAAAAGTTAATTGTTATGGCAATGGTATATTTACTAAATTGATCCAGCGTAACTGATGCACTTTTATTAAAACAATTAATAATAATCCTACTATACGTCTGCAATAAAAAATTTTCATCAAAAAGATTAAATTTTCTAGACAGTAAATTATTTAATTAAATCACTTCTTCAGGGTCAAGTATTGCAAAGTAAATAAAACAAGCTTACCCTATTTCTTCTTTAAAAATAATTTCCATTTATGTAAATAACACAAATAAGGTCATGAACAATTAATTAATATTAATTTGCATCAATTGTAATATTTTTTTTGTTTATTATAACGGATGGGTGTGCTTGTCTTGAAATAGCTCTGAATAAAAAAAGAAGAAAAGTATGCATGTGTATATATAGGTATTCACGTTGATATATTTAGTAGAGAGCAAGCCCGTGACATTCCATGATTTAAAATAGACTGATTTGAAGATTAAAAAAAATAATATATGAAAACACTTACACAGAACAAAACACTTGTTTTAAATAAATATATATATATATATATATATATATATAGATTGTTGCGCATTATTGCGGTTAGAAAATGAAAAAATAAAAATATTTTATCGAGTTCGCAAGTCAGTGATAATAAACGTCATACTAGAGTTAATTATTAAGAAGTTTCATTTACACCAGAAAAATAATTAGTATCGTTCGTTTTTTAAAATTATTTTTCTATTATATACGTTTTCTTATTCTTATAATTGTGAGATAAACTTTTCATTTTATATTTATCTAATCTATAGTGTTGTGTTTACGCGATGAGATATAATCTTAAATAAATTTATATATGTATATTGAATATATGTATACCGAGCAAAGTTCGATAATAAATTTTTATAAGTGTATTTATTCATAGTCAAAAATAGAATTGACGAACAATACTCCAGACAATCGAACTTAACCTTCAACGATATTTATAATTTTTTTGCAGTTATTAATTATTTATTTTTGTTTATTATTTATTAAGTTTGAAGAATGTTTTTTTTTTATTTATATTAATTGATAGTCTATTTTATTTTAGGAAGAAATATCAAATTAGTCATTAAATATTGAAATAATAAAATTTATGATAAATTTTTTTTTCAAGAAGAAATAGAAAAATTTTTATAATAAGTTTAAAAGAGATGTAAGATTTTTTTATGAAAAAATAACAAAGTTGTACTAAAAAAAATTATTGTAGATGATATTAATATAAAGAAGAATATATAAAATTTAAATAATAAGAAGAAATAAATTTAGGATCAAAGAAGAAATATCAAATCTATTATTGAATATTTAAATAATCAATTTTTAAGAAGAAATTTTGAATCTTTTATTGAGAAGATATGAATTTAAATTATTAAGTCAAAGAAGAAATAAGAAAGATTTGAATTAATTTTTTTTTCAATTTAATTTAATTATTTTATAATGAAGAAATAAGAAAGTTGTTATTAACAAATTATTGTATATGATATTAATATAAAGAAGACTATATTGAATTTTTATTATAAAAAGAAAAAAAATTTTGGGTGAAAGAAGAAATATAAGATCAGATTGAATATTAAAACAATAAAATTTATGGTAATAAATTTTTTCAAGAAGAAATATTAATTAAATATTTTATTGAAAAAATCAGAGTTAAAAAAATATACCAAAGAAGAAATAGAGAATTGTTTAATAAGAAGAGGTGTATGGATTTTGGTTTATACATTAATTTTTAATTGTAAAATAAATGAATTTTAGAATATGATAAAATTAAGAAGACAATTAAAAGTTTTAATGGTAAAAAAATATAAGTTTTTTTTAGAAGAAATTCTAGAAGAAATAAAGGTAAAATTTTATACTAATTAATATAATAATATTTTGTCTGAAGAAAAGAAAAAATGTATTTTTTTATGAAAAAAAGTATTATAGTTGAAGTAAAGAAGAAATAACACATGATTGAGGGAATTTTTTAATTTTAAGAAAAAACAAAAAAGTATTACTTCGAAAATAAATTATAAAAACGAAAAAGAAATAGCTGACAAAAAATTATAACTTTAAACAAGTAATTTACTAATTAAAAGAAGAAATAAAATATTGAATAAAATGTCAAATTATAAATAAAAAAAAAATAGTTTTGTTTTTATTAAAAGAAGAAGAAATAATAGCATGAGAAGAATTAAAGAATGATAAAGTGAAGCAATAAAATAATAACAATATAAATTTGTAATACCAACATATCTATCATTTAACCCACTCATTTTCACGCTTTATATGTGCTTATTACTTATTACCATCTAACTGTTATATAATCATACGTACATTATATTTAAAGTTTAAAGTATACCTGTTCCAACTGCTAAGTACTTGAATATTAAATTGTCACATTAACACCGGAAACGTTGTATTTATTCGAATAAAGATATATATATATATATATATATATATATAGATTGTTGCGCATTATTGCGGTTAGAAAATGAAAAAATAAAAATATTTTATCGAGTTCGCAAGTCAGTGATAATAAACGTCATACTAGAGTTAATTATTAAGAAGTTTCATTTACACCAGAAAAATAATTAGTATCGTTCGTTTTTTAAAATTATTTTTCTATTATATACGTTTTCTTATTCTTATAATTGTGAGATAAACTTTTCATTTTATATTTATCTAATCTATAGTGTTGTGTTTACGCGATGAGATATAATCTTAAATAAATTTATATATGTATATTGAATATATGTATACCGAGCAAAGTTCGATAATAAATTTTTATAAGTGTATTTATTCATAGTCAAAAATAGAATTGACGAACAATACTCCAGACAATCGAACTTAACCTTCAACGATATTTATAATTTTTTTGCAGTTATTAATTATTTATTTTTGTTTATTATTTATTAAGTTTGAAGAATGTTTTTTTTTTATTTATATTAATTGATAGTCTATTTTATTTTAGGAAGAAATATCAAATTAGTCATTAAATATTGAAATAATAAAATTTATGATAAATTTTTTTTTCAAGAAGAAATAGAAAAATTTTTATAATAAGTTTAAAAGAGATGTAAGATTTTTTTATGAAAAAATAACAAAGTTGTACTAAAAAAAATTATTGTAGATGATATTAATATAAAGAAGAATATATAAAATTTAAATAATAAGAAGAAATAAATTTAGGATCAAAGAAGAAATATCAAATCTATTATTGAATATTTAAATAATCAATTTTTAAGAAGAAATTTTGAATCTTTTATTGAGAAGATATGAATTTAAATTATTAAGTCAAAGAAGAAATAAGAAAGATTTGAATTAATTTTTTTTTCAATTTAATTTAATTATTTTATAATGAAGAAATAAGAAAGTTGTTATTAACAAATTATTGTATATGATATTAATATAAAGAAGACTATATTGAATTTTTATTATAAAAAGAAAAAAAATTTTGGGTGAAAGAAGAAATATAAGATCAGATTGAATATTAAAACAATAAAATTTATGGTAATAAATTTTTTCAAGAAGAAATATTAATTAAATATTTTATTGAAAAAATCAGAGTTAAAAAAATATACCAAAGAAGAAATAGAGAATTGTTTAATAAGAAGAGGTGTATGGATTTTGGTTTATACATTAATTTTTAATTGTAAAATAAATGAATTTTAGAATATGATAAAATTAAGAAGACAATTAAAAGTTTTAATGGTAAAAAAATATAAGTTTTTTTTAGAAGAAATTCTAGAAGAAATAAAGGTAAAATTTTATACTAATTAATATAATAATATTTTGTCTGAAGAAAAGAAAAAATGTATTTTTTTATGAAAAAAAGTATTATAGTTGAAGTAAAGAAGAAATAACACATGATTGAGGGAATTTTTTAATTTTAAGAAAAAACAAAAAAGTATTACTTCGAAAATAAATTATAAAAACGAAAAAGAAATAGCTGACAAAAAATTATAACTTTAAACAAGTAATTTACTAATTAAAAGAAGAAATAAAATATTGAATAAAATGTCAAATTATAAATAAAAAAAAAATAGTTTTGTTTTTATTAAAAGAAGAAGAAATAATAGCATGAGAAGAATTAAAGAATGATAAAGTGAAGCAATAAAATAATAACAATATAAATTTGTAATACCAACATATCTATCATTTAACCCACTCATTTTCACGCTTTATATGTGCTTATTACTTATTACCATCTAACTGTTATATAATCATACGTACATTATATTTAAAGTTTAAAGTATACCTGTTCCAACTGCTAAGTACTTGAATATTAAATTGTCACATTAACACCGGAAACGTTGTATTTATTCGAATAAAGGTTCCTATTATTCGAACCAAAAACTAAAAGCAATATTCAAAAGGAATAGAAAAAAATAACCGATGTAAGATCAATGTTTGCGAGGTCACCCTGATAACAAACTATAACGATGCAATCATGATTCATTTATCACAATAAAGACAACGAATTTGTTTGATCATTATTCCTTCGAGGACTTCAATTAATGTTTTATTTCTTCACTATTATTATTATTATTATTATTATTATATTTATTGAATTTGAATCACCAACACTTATCACTGCTCAATTATTATTTGTAATTTGTTAATGTAAATGTTTAGACAACGGCGACGATGTTGATCGCCGGTCGACTGTCGCTGGCTCGCGAAATCGCGAATTTCCGCGACGGGTGTGTAAATGTGTAGGTAGTGTGATGTATGAGTTGGTATATATATATATATATAAATATATGAGAACGTGGATGTGTGATGTAAGTTTCTAGAGAATCAGTAAGGAAGAAAGTATGATAGGATGAAGAGATAATGAGAGAGGTGGGTATATACTATTGAGAAGTATATATATGTATATAAATATAAGACTGGTATATCTTGTGTAGATTATATATATGTATATGTATAAGGCAAATAAATTTAAAACCGAAGAAGCATGAAGAGGCGAGTTAAGAGTTCTCAGTTTGAGTGAGCTTGTCTATACTGAGAGAAAGACTGTGGGTGAAACTTTCGAGATGAAAAATAGAGAGGTGACCACCTACTTTGTCACGATTTTTCTTTTTAGTTATTTTTCTAATTGTTTCTTTGGTACTCTACATTTTTTTTATTTATAAAAATATAAAGAGTCTATATAAATTTTGGTAAAATTTATGACAATAAAATTTTTTTTAAAGAAGAAATACTAAATTTTTTATTGATAAAATAAATATTTGAAATATTTAGTCAAAGAAGAAATAGAAAATTTTTTATTTAATTAGGAAGATATGCAGTAATTTTTTTGATTAGTTTTTTTTAAGAAAAAATAAAAAAGTATGATAAAAAATTATTTTTAGGTAAAATTATTATAAAGTTTTAATAGTAAGAAGAAATAAATTTTGGATCAAAGAAGAAACATTAAATTAATAATTGATTATAACAGTTGAATTTTTATGATAAAAAAAAATTTTCAAGAAATAAATTTTTTATTGAGAAAATAAAAATTTTAATTATTTATTCAAAGAAGAAATAGAAAAATTTTTATTTAATTAGGAAGACAAGAATTATTTTTAATTATTAATTTTTTTTATAAAGAAATAAGAAAGTTGTTATAAAAATATATGATATTAACATAAAGAAAATTATATTAAATTTTTATGACAATAATCAATAAATTTTGGATCAAAGAAGAAATATCAAATCAATAATTGAATATTATAACAATAAATTTTTTTAAGAAGAAATATTAAATCTTTTATTAGGAAAATTTGAATTTAAATTATTTTCAAAGAAGAAATCTAAATTTTTTATTTAATTCGGAGAAATTGGATTTTTTAAAATTAGTTATTTTTATGAAGATAAGAAAGTTTTAATAAAAACTATTTTTCTATTTTTTTTCGTCAGTGCTCATTTTTTTTATATTTATAAATAATTTTGAAAAGAAATAGTTATATATTTTGTATCTGGTATTTGCATGATCATTATAATTTATATTTATAATAGACGGATCATGAAGATGATTCATCTTTATTGTTACTAACTGCGATGTATTTTGTTAAATAAAGTGTCATTTGATATTTAATTATAAGTATGACATTGTTTTTACTCGTGAAGAAAGTTGTTTAATTAATAAAATATTTTCATGCTTAATTCATATAATTTTTTCTATTAAAAGCAAGTTTTTTTTTTAGTAATATTATTTATTTTTTAAATTAACAATTATAATTTTCACTGTTTATCTAACTAAATTATTATGAAAAAATTTTTATTAAAAAAAAATTCTAGAGATGTAAAAATAATCACAAGAGTTAATTTTTTTTAATTATTTTTTTTTTTTTTTTTTTTTCAGTAAAAGAAGAAATGAATTTTATGAAAATGAAGTTTGCTGACAATTCAAAATTTTTATTAATTTTTTATCGAAAAAATTTCAATTAAAAGAAAAAAAAAAAAAAA